TATATATATCTTATAATAAACATATAATAAACAATTATATCTTATAAAAAGAATTACAAGTCTTATAAAATTTATATTTTTTATTAATCTTCTGTTAAATTTTTTTTTATATTATCTTATCTTATATATATCTTATAATAAACATATAATAAACAATTATATCTTATAAAAAGAATTACAAGTCTTATAAAATTTATATTTTTTATTAATCTTCTGTCTTATTTCTTTGTCTTATATATGGTTTATCTTAAATATGGTTTATATTAATTCTTGTTCATATTTTAAAGTAAAGGATTCAATAAAATATGGTTTATATTAGAGCTATCTATTATTTCTTAGTGTATTGGTTGTGTTTTCTAATTATATATTCCCCTTTGTATTTAAAAAAAAAATTAATAATAATACTACAAATTTTTATCAATGACGACTTAATTAAAAAATTAGTCTATTAACTATCAACTTGATTTCATTTTAGTCTAGAAAGTATGTATCATTTCTAAGTGGCCTATAAACTTTGAAAAATATTTCAGAATGGCCTACCATATAAGATTTTCGTTAGTTTTAACGGAAGAATCAACTTAGAATTAAAATAGAATAGTCTTTTAAGTTTTAAAAAAGTGAAACTATAATCTCAATAAAATATAATGAATCAAGGAATATTCTATAGAGATAGATTAGTTGGAATTTGTGATGAAATTGAGCAATTAGCTCAATTCAAAGAGAGAAACCTAGCGAACTTAGAAAGAGAAGCGCTAGAAGTAAGTATTTAAAATACAATGAGAGTTAGAACCCTTAATTACAAAATAAAAACAAAAAGAGAGAGAATAAATACATTAAGAAATATTATTAATATACTTCTATCAGCATTAGCAATGAACAAATAGATCAAATTAACATGTATTTACTCAATACGGTAAGAAAAAGTATAATAGATATAGAAGATACAATTATCATAGATAATATTCTAAAAATAGAAACAATTAATGAAAACACCCTGAAAAGAATTAAAGAAATGGGAAAATCCCTTTCTCAAGAATTTGATTCTATAAAAGAAAGAATAAATAATGTCAAAAACTCTAGAAATTTGAAAGAAATAAAAGAAAAAATAAGGTCTATTATAGACTCAAAGACTCTTATATCTTGAGTAAGAGAGATAGAAATCAAAACAGAAGAAATTTTCAAGATATTAAAAGCAATCGTTGAAAAATTTGCAATAAAAGCTTAAAAATGTATAACAGAATAATTCCACAACTAGAAAGTGATATAAATAAAAATTCTTATAAGATCTAAACACAACTCAAGAATCTACAAAATACTATAATATTGGTCTATAGTAGGCAAAATATTATAGATAGAAATGAAGGATTTAAAATAATCCCGAATATTTTCACGGAAAAGCCTAAATCAAAAGGGATAACACTTTTCATGTTAAAAACCCAAGAAGAAAAGTTGAAAGGACTTGAACAAAAATTCTTAGAAGAAGAAAATGTAGAAGAACTAGATAATCTATGCAGACAAATTACTATAACTGCTAAGCAATTAGAAAATATGAAAATGAATACCCAAAAGGAGGAAATAGAAGAGGAAAGTGAAGAAGAAAAGGATTAGACACATCCTAATATAACCCCAATAGAATTTCAAGTGCCACTTGGAGTAGAATCTACCATAAGCCAAAGATATAGAAAAAATAGAAATCTAACACATGAAGTGATATATGATAAAAAGAGTAAAAGATTTGGGAATAAATCTAGACTTGAAACACCAATAAGAATCAAAGAACAACTAATTAGTACTAATGGTATTTGGCTAGATCTAGATTGTGTTACCAACCTAGAGAAGGTCATTAGTGACTGGGCCTAAGCTACTTGGATAGCCATAGCAAACAAAAATTGGAATGCCTTGCAAACAGTTAGATTTATTGAAGTCACCTTTAAAGGGATAGTTCACGACTAGTTTGCTGGTCTAAATAAAGAAGACAGTAATGTTATTATAAGTGGAAATCATACTTCAGAAGAAGTTAATGAAAATGAAGCAAATCAAGACATAATAAATAGATTCGAATCAGCCACTAGGAGAGAATTCTTAGGAGAAAATTGGGAAGAAAATCAAGGAAAGAGAAGGCCAAAATTGGAAGAATAACAGTGCGGAATTGGCAAAATTTAGAATTATGTAATATTTGTGAATTAGATCAATACATTGTTATACCTATGATTTTGATGATTACAAAACACATTTGAGTGACTAATTGGTTTATTTAAGTGTGTAGTTAAGTTGCTAAAAGATTGCAAGTAAACTTGGATTGCACTAAAAATAGACCAAAAGGATTCAAAATGTACAGAGAGCCGGCTCTGGTGAAATGGAAGTGCAGAGAGTTGGCTCTAGAAGCTGCAGCCGGCTCTACGGGCAAAAATTTGAAGACCGTTGTTGGCGCGCGCGGAGAAAAGACGCAAAGCCGGCTCCAACTTTGCAACCGGCTGTGAGGGTGCATTTAACGCACAACAGTCGACTCTTTTGAAGAATATTTAATGTATTTAAAGTCGGAGTTCCAAAGTCGGCTCAAAGTTTTGCAACCGACTCTCGAGAAAAACAGAATAGGCTGTAAACCCGCATAGCCGACTCTGGAAGCGTAAGCCAGCTCTAAAAAGCTGGCTCTAGAAAGTTAAGCCGGTTCTCCTGATAATCCTGCAGCTCAAGCTTTGTGTCCTGCAGGGCATTTAATGACCCCCAACGGCTAGAAACGACTATTTTCGAGCAAGAGGCTATAAATATGGTTGGTAACAGATCTAAAGAAGTTTAGATAGCATTGTATTGAATATCTTTACGTACCAACTTGTGCTTTAACTTGAGATTTTGATCTTTGAGAGATCTTTATTTGTAATCCTCTTATTGTTCTATTTGTGAGTAATCTTGGGGGTGTGACTATTCCTTCAAGAGTGATCTATTGAGAGGATTTGTGGGGTTTACATTGTAAA